ACTTATCGATATAATGATCGATATTTTTATCGATTTTGTTATCGACACTTTAATCGATTTTGTTATCGATTTTATTATAGATTATTTATCGATTTTGTTATCGATATTTTTATCGATTTTGATATCGATATTTTTTTCAATAAATATCTTTTCTGTTCAAAATTTCAAATCTTTAAATCTCAGTAAGCTGTAGAAAAAAACAATGGTATAAAATAAAAATAAAAATAGGGCTTTCGCTTATATTCTCATTGAGTTCTTTTCACTTAGAAGTATGTAAATTTTGGAAAACCCCTTTTTTTCTTAGTGTGTGATTTCGTTTTTGACTTGGATATGCTCTTAACCATACCACGTATTCTACGTTTAAATATAGCGGCTGTATCTCCGATACGTCCATTATATTGGACCATTTCTGCGTACTAAGCAAAATTTTCTTTTTGTTGATTTCTTTCGGCATTCGAGCGCGGTAGATATAAGGTTTAAGTATTGATTTTTTTTTTCGATACAAATCTAAACGATTTGCTCTAACTTTGCTGGAGGTGCGCGACGATGGCTCTTGCTTTCGAGTGAACACTGAAGCAATTACTGTCCCTTTTATATCACTTAGAGTGGGAATTTAGTCCAAATCCGGACGAAATCAAATGTCAGGAAGTGTAGGGGACAAAGAAACGTTAGGTTATTGTTTAATAGCATCGCATATAAATTAGCATTCCCTCACTTCTTTATTTTTATTGACTCGAATTCATTTAAGGTGTTTCGAGTTGTTTAAGGGAAGTCTCTTATTGCTTGAGATCCCATTTGCTACTTAAATAGCAAGGCGGCTTTCGCAGCTGTCCAAGCATTCCTCCTATCCCTTGGGAACTGTCAAAGAGTAATGGCCATATTGTGTAGCTTCGGGATGCAATGGACTTGAAATTTTGTTGACCTGTCTCTAGCACCTTTGTAGGTAGCATCGGCTACTATGCGCTGCTCTCAAAGGTGTCTTGAGCTTTGGGCAGCTCGTTCAATAGCTTTGCCGTTAAGACTCATGACAACTACAGTTCCTATTACTGTGTGCCTGTGTGTGACTACCTGAGAGTCCACGACCATAAGTTACATACGACATACTCACATCTAGCATTTCGTGCAAGGCGGTACACCTGAGCCCTGGCTCTGAGAAAGCAAGTAAAAATATATCGGAGAGGTGTCTATGCCTTCCCTACAATCTTCAGCTTTGGGCCTGTTTAATAAGGAACATTAAAAAAAAGGCTTTAAAGCGCGGTTCCATCGATATGTCTAATGGCGCAGACGTTTCACGTTTCATCTCCGCATCATACAACTTTGAGATAAGGCTATTGATTAAAAGTCTATTCCTTGTGACATAGCCTACAATATCCGGAGCAGGACTTCTTCCGTAAGTAGAGCCAAGCTAGTTAAATTAGAGTTAGGAGTCTTGACATTTTATTGCTTGGCAGCTGGTAATTAAAGAAACCTACAACCTAGAATAAAAACTGAAGTTTAAAGAGCTAACAAATTTCCAGTCCTAATGCAATCGTCCAAATGCACAGAAGGCACATATTTTTTTTTATATTGGATTTCAGTATAAGTGGCTCATTCCATCTCAAATCACCCAGGCCGGGGGAAAGTGAATTTAAGTTTGCGATAAAACACGTATTTTTTCTTTTTGCTCAGGTATGCGAATTTTTCGAATAATGAATTTTTTTCTTTTTCCTCTCTTAATAGCAATAGCTTCTTTTGCCTCTCTTAATAGCAACTTTTGATGAAATCGTTTATAACTGCCGCAAAAAAGCAAGGATTTTAACGATTTGTTTTTTAATTGCAGATATTGATCTACTGAATCGATCTAGTGAACTAAACATCAGTAATTGTTTATTAATAATTAATTATTGTTTATAAACAAAAAATTTTTTTTTTCAAATTGATTTTTTTCAAATTGCCACATCTTTTTTTTCTCTCAAACTTTTTTGTCTATTAGGGAATAGTATAAACTATTTTCAGTACGAGAAGCAATATGCTAAAACTCGTCATTTTCGAGTTATGATTTTTTTTCTGAAAATGCACTTATATGATGCTAGCAGATTTTCGTGCAATTAAAAAAAAAAATCGTTAAAATCCTTGCTTTTTTGCGGCAGTTATAAGCGATTTCATCAAAAGTTGCTATTAAACTAAAAGTTACTCAAAAAGAAAAAAATTCATTATTCGAAAAATTCAAATTTCTGAGCAAAAAGAAAAAATACGTGTCTCCTTAAATTGTTCAAGGAACAATCCCTGTGAGTTTTATCGCAAACTTAAATTCACTTTCCCCCGGCCTGGGTGATTTGAGATGGAATGAGCTAAGTGTAATTCAAACAATTTCATTGCCACTTGTCTATTGTTCAAAAGAGTGCACGAATGCTTCGCTAAAGGGTCGCAGAAACAACCAAAGAGCGACACCAACAATCAACACCCACAAACATAGCCGCCATATT